AAACGCAGGGACATTATTATTTTTCAGTGAATTAAGTTTTAATAGGAATAGGTGGAGTACAACTTTTCTACTTCTGTTATTTGCTGCTGTTTCTCAAATAAAATGCATAGCCTCAATGCCTCAGGCCCTAGAACTGGCGGGCCACTCACAAAGCAGAGATGCGCTTTGAATTTCTGGATGCAAAGTGGGCGGGGTTATCAGGGCGTGACGACAAAGCTGCGCAACGCTGGAGAAGCACAACAAGGAATATGGCAACAACTACTGAACAGTTCTGGTTTGACTCAGCTTTAGAATCAGTTCTGGAAGGATTAGACTTTGGGTTTTCGTTTAAACGTGAGCAGGAAGAGTCTGTACGCTCGTTCATTTTTAAGAAAGACGTATTCGCCGTTTCATTCTCATTCATCGGGGTCAGACTACCTTCCATATTTAATCTCACATTTCGTCTGGTTTTGTGTGGTTTTGCTTTGTTTCCCGTTTGGTTGCTGGGATCTTATTAAAGTTCTAATTCCGACACCCAAAGATGATATGTTGCAGAAAAGCAACTTCCATTGCTTTTGAAAGTAATTTATACATATGGTGATATATATCCTGTGTCGTGATTATAGCCCGAATATATCGTGATATTAGCTTTTCTTCATATTGCCCAGCCCTATGGTGAACCCAACACCAACGGCATCAGAAACTGGATAAAGGCTTACCTGCTCCACGGCTTTCTTGACGTTCTCCATGGTGTTGGCGGTGACCAGGGCGTGCAGAGGCTCGTCTTCACCTGGCAGCATCTGTCCATCTTTACGGCCCACTTTCCCTTCCTTCACTGATCCTTTTCCTCGGATCATGATCTTTGCGCAGCATTCTTTCTCGATGTTTTTCAGCGTATTACCCCTAAAAACCAAACATAACGTCATTTAATCAACTCGTTCACCCATGAGAAGGGTTAATATATTTAAGAACCAACCAATCGGGTCCAACTTACCGCGGTCCAATTAGCAGACCCACAAAGTTGATTTCAGGGTATTCGTCTTGAGGGATCATGACTTTATCGCTCACTCTGGTGGCGGGAGGCCTAAAGAAGAACAGATCCTTAAACTCAACAGTTCTGGTACCGGGTACCGTTGGTAAAGCAGGTCCGAGTGTTTAGCTCAACCGAACATGGTTGTCTCTTTAGGAAGTTCTTGAGGCTCCCCTCATAGCCGGTTTCCATGGAAACAAAAGTCATACCTTCCCATCAACCCAACACATCCTTTTCTGTTGTTCAAACTCATACAAGCCGCTATTTCAGAAGGGTGACACATTGGAGCAGATTTTGTTCGGATATCAGAGAGTCGGCGAACTTCTGCCAAACAGACATTGCCCAAAATAAGGTCATTGTGAAATTTATTTTTAATATTTTTGTGACCTAATTACTGTCGAAGTCGTAGGGAAAGTGGTGCCCGACTTTACACGAGTGAATAAAGTGAATGTGATTGGTCGATTATCAAGGGGGCGGGATTGTTGTGGCGGAAGGTTTGCAAGTAAGTTTGGTTGTGGCCGGTTTGTCGGAAGCATCTAGCTAGCCAGTTAGCATCTTAGTGCTAGCAGGTTCCCAATGGGAAATTCCATTGGGACCAAGTAGCACTAAATTGGTGACTTAGAAACGACGCTGTCAAGGAACGCTATGGACAGAGGAAACATGCAAGAGGAGGAGAGTTTAGTGTCGGAGGTCGTGGATGAGTCTCCTCCGTCATCCATTTTTTATTTAGAGGAGGAAAGCGGGGACGAAGATGTTGTGGAAGAGGACGCCAGGGCGGCAGAAGCTTGGTTTGGTGTAGAAGGCTTCCAGCCGTACATGTTTGAGCCCTTGCCTCGCAACGCTGCCAGTTCTGTTAGCTCTACGCCTGCCGAAGACACAGACGTCCATCCCCGTGAACACTGGGACGCAACTCAATGGGAAAGGAAAGGATTCTGATTTCAACCGTTGCGTATATTAGCTGCGACACATGAATCAAGATGCTATGACCGAAAACATTTTTATTGACAGATGACCGTTGATATATGATTGGCCGAATTTAGGTGTTCAGGCTGACGTAGAACTAACTGGCCTGCAGAAGATAACGGAAAAAAAAAAAAACAGATTTTAAGACAGGATTTTTTTTTTTACAGAAATTTTTCTAACTTTTGGGACAATATCATCTGATAAAGATTACATTTATATACATGTTTAAGCCAGAATGATTTGACATTTAAATATGACTTCCCTACGAAAAGTTTGATTTCTCTCATGTCATATACTGACTTAGACATTTACTCACTACAAAAGTGTTTCACTCAGCTTGCTTCACCTGCAAGGCCAGACGATGCCTGAGTGAGGCTGTTTGTGGACCAGATCTACCTTCTTCCCATAACAAACCAGATTCTTTCTCAAGGTTTATTCATAACATGTTACTGTTTAACCAAAGTGTCTAATTTGTTTTGACTCTGACTACTTTCCATTATTATAAGTAAGGGGGAACGAATGCTGCCCAGATCAGAACAGGGCTGATTACCGTTTAATGATGAACCGTTCTCTGTTTGCAAAGATAAAAATAAGCCGGGCATTCCCTGTGCGATTTTTTTCAATCATTGCACGCAGCTTGAGTAAAATCCATCAATCTTTATTTCACTGGAGTAAATAGTTGAATAATACCCCCCAAAAAAAGTCAGGAGTTAACACAACGTTTAAAAACATTCAAATATTCACTTTATCCTATTCTGTGTTTATTTCCTCTTAGTTTTATTAAGCAAACTCTAAGGCTCATAATCAAGTCAGAAAATAAACCTGATTCTTTTCCCTCTGAATTTCTGTCCATAACCTTTTATGATGAAACAAAATGGCTAAATTTTGCCCCACACAGTTTCCCAATAAAACCACTGCCTATCGACTAGAATTCTACTGGTCCAAATTGGTTTCTTAGAAAGAGAGGATACGATATGAGGCGTCTTGTTTGCATGTAAAATAATTTTCACGCTTTCTAAAAAAGTAAAAAATCCAACTGGACTGACTAATATCTGACATTTTGAATTGAAAAAGCTTCCTAGATGGGAAGAGAAACATCTTCAACCTTGGAAACAAAGTCCAGTGGATTATTTAACTTTTTTGGAATGATTATGACCTCGATGACTGAGAATCGTCACCAGCAGATTTTCACACTTTACCCCACTTTCTTAAGAAAAGGCAAGTTTAAAAAACGCTAAAATCATTCGTCATATAAAAATCCATACTTGTAATCCGCCGGCGGCTTGAAGTCGGGGTTGAGGGCGATCATCTCTGTGATGAGGGAGTGGCGCTCCTCCTCGATCTTCTTCCGAGTGCGATACTCGCGGGTGTTCAGCCTTTTGCCCTCGCTGTTGTAGATGGGCTCTGGAGAAGGAGACCTACGAGCGGCAGACAAAATACAAAAAAAAACGCACAACGATGACACCTTTCCAGAAGCCGAAGCGCCGCACACAAGCATAAATGCTCCCTAAAGCTGACTACCACCTAATACAATCTCAGGTTTATTTGGACTCCTGGTCGGTGCAAAAAAACAAAACAAAACCAGAACTAATCAGGAGGAGTTTTGCACCGACACGTTTAATAGGTTTAGAGTCCATTCTGTCAAACATTTCAGCTGTTTATGGAGGTGATTTAACCTCGGATTAAAGAGAATCAACAGAACCAGTCTTTGCCCAAACCTGCTTCTAAAAACTAAACCTGCATTCAGGATTTTTGGCCCACAAAAAAAAAAAAAAAACAAAAACAAAAAAAAAAAACAGATGAAGGTTAAAAAAAAGATAATGATCAAAGCAAAATCTGAGCCGCTGGTGCTGACGTGGCAGTAGAGGGCCGTGCCTCTCCTTGGATGCTGAAAACCTGTGTCGCTGTGTTAAGGAGGCTCTGCGCTTGAAAAAGAGTTAGGTTGACGTGGGGTAATTTGGGTTAGAGGAAAGGAATTAGGATTAGATTATCCACATGTTCCTACGCTCTCCTAACAGAGAGCAACTTTCAACTTCAAAACTTCCCAACGCCGTCGAGCTGCAGCATCTCTTCCCCCCTCCGAGCCGTTTCTCTTACGTTAGACAAGGAGGGGGGGGGGGCGGCTCATTTGATGGACGGCTTCTGTTCTTCTGATATTTTTTGGGATGCTGTGGAGACGTCTGAGGAACTAACAACAAGCGTGCAAGTTCAAGTGGCTTTAACTAGCAGATGTCAAGTGGAGAGACTGAGGAGGGCGAGCCGCTTCCTGCAAAAACAGATGCTTATGACCCTAAAGTTACAGACCGGCCCCCCTTCTTCTAAAACCAGTACAGTCCAGAGGGGAAACTGGAATGAAGCCACTTCACTGAACCGGGATGCCCGGTGACAAATCAATTCTGTTTTTAACTCTCTGCTCGGCTATAAAGAATCCTAATTCATAGGAACTCAACTCTGGTAAAATGGAAAATAACCAGCATTGGAAAAATAAAAAAAAGGGGTTAATGTTTCCAAAAAGCTAAATTATCTGAGCTAACTGTCCCCATAGGACCAGACAGGAAGTGGGTCAAAACTCCATCAATTATTAGAAACAATGCAATTTAAAAAATGGAAATATCCTAAAACATTTACACATTTAAAGACTTGATTAGTTTTATTTCATAAAACAAGAAAAATAAACATTTTCTTCCTGGTTTAATTTGAAACATTGAGTTTGCAGAGAGAGAAAAGCTTTGGATTAGTCCACCGATGCAGAGAGAACTTCCTGCAATCACACTTGTTTACATTTTCAGCTGAGAATTGATTTCCTAAGATGCTTCCTGTTCTTTCCTCCTTTTTTCCTTGTTTAATCATTTCCACAAAGTTGATTTCAGGCCTTTAGTAAAACAGACATTCCCATCCCATTAGTCATTCATTAGTGTTCCTAGAAGACTGGAATCCTATGACTTTTAGAAAGATTGAGACAAACGAATCCTTTCTGTTAATATCTCTGGAAATCAGACATGGAACATAAATTTATTCATCTTGAAATAACCTAATAAGTTCCCGTTTTATCTCAGGAAGCTTAATGTGTAAGAAAACATTTGTTAATTCAATCAGTATTTAATTTGATTAGTACAATAAATTGGTAAAATATGACAACATGCTATTCTAACTCAAATATTATCTCTATTTGTTATGAAAGTAGGATGAAAAAGATTATCCTGATAAAATGAACATTTAAATAATTAATCATTAGTCGACTGATAAGATCAATTAGCTTTAGATTAATTCATTCATTCTCCAATCAGCAATAACCCCTAATGGCGTCGTATTCAAGTATAGTTTGGAGATTGCTTCTCAGCAACTTATGATCTGTAAACTTGGGCTAAACTCATTTAGTAATCGATTAACTGGAGTATTTAACCTCTAAAATATGCTTTTAGCTCACAGAGAAACAACAATTATACCAAAAGTTTAAAAAATAATAATATTTTATGTTTAAAAGTGTTTCTGTCAATCTGCTCTATCCAGAACTCCTAAAGTGGGAAAGTTTTAGTTTCAGCTGGTTTAATTTCATAAAAAGTCTTCTTTTAGGAATCTGTTGCTATCAGATTATTAATAGATTAAACAAAAATATTCAACAGTAGGGCTGCAACTAATAATTATTCTGCAAATCGATTTTTTTTAGATCAATAATCAGGTAGCCAAAGACTTTTTTATGAAATTAAACCAGCTGAAACTGAAACTTTCACACTTCTGGATAGAGCAGATTGTCAGACAAAAAAAAATTTTTTTTTTCTTTTTTTTTATCGTTAGTTAGCGTTTTAGATCACTAGATCTTGCAAGTGATCTAGATCTTGTGCTTCTAGGTCTAGAAGCACAAGATCAATATCCAGGCATTCAGCAAAGATGCTGCTACATATCTGTACATCTGATTAGACCAATTAGATGAGCCATTGAATGATATATTACCTACTGGAAATTAAGTTTAAAAAAAAAAAGTGTAAAAGAAAAAAAACCTAATTGAAAAGTTTAAAAAGAAAAGGTCAAAAGTTAATAAGCCTAGTGAACAATTAAATTTAGGTTTAAACAAAAAATAAATAAATAATGTAAGTGCCAATATCAGCATTATTGCCTCTGAGGCTTTCTTTCACTACGAGGGCGTTTCATGAATTTCTTATAGAAGCTCTTTTGTTATTTTTCTTAATATAGATGTTTCGGTCAAGTTGGCGTTTCTTCTTATTACATCGACATTAATTTTTATCCATCAAAATATCCTTTTTTTTTTTTTTAATGTTACAGGTAATAAGGTCTTGACCCGGATTCAATAACACTTATTGGCTTGAAATGTTGATTTTCACAGTATTTCACTGAGTTCACTCCATCATAGCTGGACTTCAGTGTTCCAGTAGGAAAAATGCTACACTTTCCTGTAATTTGACAAAAATTGAGCCTTTCTGCCATTTAAAGTTTCTGTTCAAATTCTGGTGAAACCATTTCCACTGCATCTCATTATCATTTCATTTCTACTGCATGTCGTCTCCTCTGCTGCGTTTGCATTGATTCAAAACCTTTTAAAACCTGTAAACATGTCAGTTTAACATCTTTAAAAAAATTGATAGTATTGCTTCCCCCTTACCCCAATAAAACCATTAACCATATTTAAAATTTAATACTAGCTACAGGACCAATTCTGCTCTTATAAAAGTATTGGTACGATCTATCATTTGAATCTGGGCTAAACAAGTCACTATCTTTGCTAAACTCTGACTTTCTGAGGAAATAGATAAACTAGCATTAAAATCTTTTTAGAAAAACTGACATTAAATAAAACAAACAAAAATATAGTAACAGTTAAAAATCAACATTAGTCTTCCATATAGGCAAGAAGGTAGAGAAAGTGTTACTGTTCGAGGGTTTAATCTTTTCCAACCTGTCCTCAGGGTTAACAGGGATTCCCAGGTCTCCTGTACGCAGTTTACGAGTCAGGTCTTCAATCTGCAGTTGGACTGGAAGAATTCAGGTTAGGAAAGAAAACAAAGGATGGAGAGAAATGTGGTTACCACAGCAACATCAGAGAGACATGGCTCTGCACTTGAGAGAGAGAGCAACGTCTCAATCACTACTGCAGTAAAGACAAACGGGTGAGTCTGCTAAACCAAGAGGGAGATCGAATAAAACCGTGTTGGTTTGAAGGCTAAAGCAGAAGCCTGGAGTCAAAACCTACAATGCCTGAGAGGTCATTTCATTTAGGGTTACAGACAACCAACCGTTCCTTCTTTCACAATGATTAAGCATGGGAACATGTCCAACAATGAAACCGTGATTCCTAAAAATGCCCGCCTGCCTCGTCAACGCTTCAAAGGAGGCTTGACCTCCCCGAGCGCAGGTCACGCTCGGTTTAAAGGCGGAGGCATTTTGAGGACAGACTGGGCTCAATTTGTTTAGCAGGTTTCAGTGAGAAAAATAAAAAAAACAAGTGCTTGCAGTCACAGATCTAACACTGAGGGGCAAGTCTCGTATTCAGGAGGCAATGGGGAAAAGAATAGATCAGACATTTCATGCACATTATGAGAAACGGAAAGAAGTATCCCCTTGAACACAGATTCGTTAAAAAAAAGGATTATTCTGAGTTAATGAGGCGGATACACATCCCAGAGGCTTCATGTTCACAACAATTTCATTCTGAAACTCTTGTTTTAGGGGATCTACTTGATAAAAAACCAAACTAAGTGGGACGAGGAAGGGTGGATACAGATGGATGTTTACATACCAGTCACCAACAACCATTACCAACGAGATGCGGATGTTAGTTACAGACAAACTGACCCATATGGTTTAGATTAAGAGTTTTCCTTAATAAAAATACCGATTTGGATTAAATGTTTTGGTCTTGAAGCTGCTCTGATTTCAATCAATTTTAATTTAAACCGATCTGGAAACGGATCAGTTTCTTTATCAGCCCTGAAACTGGGCCCGGTTCCTCTAAACAGACCGGCGCTCAGATCAGGCCGGCAGCTTCAAGCCGCCACCTTAAGCTGTTGTTAATGGGTGTGAAAAATGGTATGCAAACCAAAAGGCTACAGAACAGCAAAGACAACTTAAAACCAGAACATCTTGCATCAAAAATCGTGATCATTTCTGCTCATCGGGGATATGTTGCTTCGTCTCATCAGCTGGAGTCAAAAGAGACGGCGCTTTAATAAACAGAAAAATGGATGCCCGGTTCTCCACGAATGGATATTTTTGGTACTTTTCTATGACTCCAGCTGTTGGGACCTCAGCAGACACAAAATAATCTATCAGAAAACAAGAAGCTTAATAATAAATACAATTAATGAGACATCTTTTCATTAAGCTAAATGTTTGAGAGCAGATGATCATCGTTTACCTATATAGGCTCTCTCCTGATCGCGGGTGAGTCCGGGGGGAATGACGGTGGGCATTCCCGGTATCACCGTCTTCTGATCAGGGGTCTCACTGCTCCATCGACTCTTTTTCCTTTTCTTTTGGCCAAAATCTAGAAAAAACAAAACCCCCAAAAATCTGTCAAACTTTGAAGCAATAGTAAAGGGAGTAACTTTCACTTTTTAATCCTTTATTAGAAGAACCCAAAAAAGGTACAATTACAACTTCTTATTTCCATGATAGTGATATAGCGGATAGAGGCAAAATGTTTCTATAGCCTGTTTCCCGCGGAAAATAGCGTTTTCAAACATGGGTCGACCCGCTAGCAATTGGCATTTAGCTCACTTCCCATTGTCTAA